CTTTAATGTTAACCATAACATAAGTGATTAAATGTTTTAATATTTTTTTTTATCTTATATTACACAATAAAAGAAAACTTTTCTTATTCAATTATCCCTTAGCTCATATTAATTTTCTTTCTCACTTGGTAATTTACTCCACTTACATATAAAAAAAATTAAATTTAAGATTTTTATTTAAAAAAAATTATCTTATTCCCTTAGGCGCAGGATAAAATTATACTTATTATATTTTTTATTATAATTATATATAAAAAAAATAAAAAAATAATATTAATTTTAGTCTCAAATAGATTTAATTGACAATTGATAAATTAAAAATTAATTTTTATTTTTTAATATAAATTTATGATAAAAATATATATTTAATAAACTTTTAATCTATATTAAATTCTAAAAAAATATTATTTAGTTATTTAATATTTTAAATTTGATTTGAAGTTTTCTATTGCAATTAATTGATATTTATAAATGGAAAACTATACTACTATTTCTTTACCCTTAGGATCATAGACTGTATCATGCTGAAATATCTCAAAAGCAAAGGATAAGAGGAAAGTTGCATCATATTTAATTACAGAGAGAAATGTCAACTTTAATTGGCAATAAGTGCATCCTAGTACTTGTAGAAAAATAAAAAAATAAGAAAAAATTGATTGGTCTTGTGATGTGAGTGCATCTGAATGGTCTTGTACAACTCGGGATGGCCATCCCAAATTCCCAATTTCCGGACCCTTAATTAAAAAAAGATTCCCATCAAAGGTAAAATGTGCAGTGATCATAGGTAATTATTGCATAGGGGTCATAAACTCCAAATGAAATTGGACCATTCTGCCTAAAATCAGAACTTGGACCCCCACTTTATAAACAAATCTTTTGTCTCTTTCGTTGGTCTGTTGGAGACGTGGGGTATGATTTAAAAGAAAAGTGGGGGGGGTGGTGGTGGTGGAAAATAGAAGAATGCCACTTTTTTAGTTTTTATTTTTATTTTTTTTTCTCTTTTGTTAAATAAAAGTTAGAATATTAATTTAGCCTCTTCATTTTAAATTTATATTAAAATTATTTTTAAATTTCAAAAAATATTAAAATTATTCATAAA